AGTGTGTCTCAGCCATGTTACCAAGAGAGATTAGAAGGCATTACTCATCTGTAGCAGTATTGTTGCTCTCCAAAGCTCTTTGATCCATTACCACGCATGCCCTTTGTAATGATAATTTAGTAAGAGTCTGATACTTAATAATTCAGTCTCAGAACTTTCCCTTCACTGCCTTTTGTGCGCTGACATAAATTGCCATACTCTCAAAATAAAATCACGCTCTCAATAATACTTCAGACACTGCAGGTACCTGCCTGTCTGTAGCTTTATTTTCTGTATTTAATTAATGCAATGGTACTGGGTTCACAGTCCAGATATTCATGTTCCCTGATTAAGTCCTGAGGATTTGCTGTAGAAGAAGCAGTAGTTTCTGTAATTGCCATCTACCAATGTCCCTTGGCTCTGACCTTTCGCAGCCAACTTACAGAGCAAGAGGTTAGGGAAGCTGCCAGGTGTATTCAGGTCTGCGTCTCTTCACTGAGATGCCCAGAACAGGACTGGTTATTTTTGTGCCAAATGAATACTGACATGAAAGTCTTTTGAGTCTAATCTCTGCCTCTGCAGTAAAATTGCCTTCAGAATTAACATTTTCTGATCAGCCTGTTGGTTTGAGTTAAGCTGTTGACATCAGAAGGTGGAAGGTGCCATATACTGTTGCCAAACCAACAAGCTGCCAAATAACAGCCCCTCAAAAGCATTCCCTGGTAAGGGAACAGGAGGCTGAGGTTTTCACTCACGCAAGGTTCATTGTATGCCATGTTTGCTTGATAAATTAGCTTTAAAACTTTAACACATGAGCTTTGATGCTGAAAACAGCTTTATGCTGTTGAAACAGTAGGCAATCTTGATTTAGACTTTAAATTAATTTGGAAGAAATTCTACAGAATCAATGTAGTTAGAGATGGAAAAGACCTACATAAACACGTCTTTTCCTTTTGTGGGACAGGACGGCAATGATTTGGTGTATTTAATGGAAATACACCAATCTTCTAAGTATATATAACTCCACTAAACCGTTTTGCAAATCCAACTCGGATTAGGTACCCTAAATCTGAGGCTACTTTTCAGGTTTTCACCTGATAATTTAGAGAAACTACGTATATTAAACCAATGTCATATCCAATTTTTCAACAGAATGAAAAAAGTATCTCACTAGAGCTATTTTCTTCATAAATGCCCAGACAAAAAAACCGCTCAGGTAGAAATAATGCATATGCCTGCAAGTCTTTCTGGAACTAAAACCAGTAACAAGCCTTGAATCGTCCCAGGGAACCGGCAGCCTCAATTTCAAAACAAAGCAGTGTCTCTGGTGACAGGTGCTCATTTGCCAGGAGTGCACAGAGGTATGCTGGCTTCTTTCGAGTTTCCTTTGAGATGAAGCTACATGCCACAGCTGTGGCAGTCTCAGGAGTCGTCAATCATACTTTGAGCACCTACAACTGTTTGATAAAGGGCCACAAACACCATTTTTTAACTAAAACTTGAATTTCATGAATTTGATTCTTCTGATAAAAGGATAAAAGTTGCTCACTATTTGCTGCATGTAGGTCATTCCCCTACTTCAGAAATCTTGTAAAGCCTTTTTTCTCTACTATTTTATTATTTAAGTCCATTTGTGATGCACTATTCGTATCCAGGGAACGACACTACTGCAGGTTTATTAGTTGGGCAGGCAGCAAAACGAACTTTCAATATCAAAATTTAGCAGGGCATTAATTTGTTCCACAGTAGCTGAAGACTGAATGTGAAGAGTACACATTTGAAGTTACTTTGAGATCCAACGTAGGACAAGTGAGAGATCAAAGGAGGGGGATCTGTAAAAAAAAGTGAAAAATTGGCATCTTCTTTGATCCTTATCTATATCTTCGGTACTGTGCTCATTAAAGCAGATTCTGCTTTGGATCGCTTCTAGACAGAACGTGAAGCAATCTTCATGCAAAAGCTTTGCCGTTTGGCCTGTAACCTGTCACCCACAAACGAGAGACAGAGACCGAGAGAGAGACAAACAGACAGAGATAGCTCCTGAAAGTCCTAATTACAGGAAAAGGTTTGATGATATTACTATTTACCAGAGACCTACCATGAAGCGAAAAGTCAAAGGAAAGGAGAATTAATTAGTTTCTCTGCTTACAGAACTACTTGTTTTGAATGAACCACATTTTCAGATAATTCTTGGATTGACTGGATCACATGCAATCAATAAATACTACTACTAAATAATTATAACTTTTCCCTCTTTCTTCAAAACGTTAGTCTATCACCTTAGGTGTTGCACAGGAAGAGCTACCTTGTTCTAAAAGAGAAGATTCCTTCCCACACAACACACCGCACTATTACTGAGAGGAGTAAGGACAGTGTTTCTGTCACGTTTTTAAAGTTAGTTATCGCAATTCAGTAGAAGAAATCTTACTGCCAAATATGTCTTGATACTCCGTCTTGCTGCGTTTGAGATGGAAGGTGATTTGATTGCTCTTCCATTTTTCACGCTGATGCAAAATGGAAAGAATGGCATCATGAATCTCCGTGTGCTGTCTATTTGCCTGTCTAAGTAGCATGTAGTTCTTCCTGGGTATGTCTTAATCGTCAAATAATGTAGCACCTTGATTTCCTTCCTGGTCCAAGTTCTCCAACTGTCTGCACTGCACATGCGTTACTATGCTCTTGTTCTCTTTTCAAGAGAACAAGTTCCTTCCAGGACAAAATTTGGGTGCTGTTCTGGTGTCCTCTGGAGACTCCTTCCAGGAGCTAGGAGGGGTAAGACCATGTCAGGTTGTGTTCCTTTTGGTCTACACAGTTCTCCCACCGTTATCCCAGCCAGCCTTCTCCACTCAGATGCCCTCACATATATCCACGTCAGACTCCAGGCACGTACCACATACTCTCAGTTTTAGTTTTGAAAACATCACTCTAGTAGACTACAACTCCTATCACTCTGAAATTAAAAACAACACACAATTATTACTGTACCTTGTACAAGAGCAACTAATGGCACCCGGTCAGAATCAGACCATGTGCTGTGCTGTACAGCTTACCCAAACGGAGGTACGATGGGAAAGGGCATGAGAAAGGACATTGCACCACTTGGCCAGGGAGCCCACCAACCACTTCTTTGTAATAAATGCTTCTGCAGCATACATATGGCATTTTTATTACGTTTAGCGAATAACTCCTACTTTATAAAAATATGTTTATATAGGCAAAACACGACATAAATAAAACGTGAAGCCAAATCTCACTGCTTCAAGAACACTTCAAGAAAGAAGACTGAAGTACTAACATTAAAATGTTTACAAAGCAGCACGCTCCATCATAATAGGGCAGCTGTAGCATCACCTAAAGAGCATAGTAACAGAGATGGTTCTAACAGCATGCTTGCGATTGAATAGTCATTACCAAAAATAATTTCTGGAAAAGATTAGCTACTGACTTGACGGATTAGATAAATTATTACCTTTCAAATACCTTAAAAATCCCTGCACACTGGACAGCTGTTTGGAGCACTTCAGCAAAATTAGTAACCCAACAAAAAAAAGTAAATGTGAAAAGAATAATGCATTTAAATAAGAAACCTAGTATTGCAGAAAAATGTGCAATGACAGAAAAATGTATTCTCTCGAGTGGAAAATGTCATGCTTTGCGTGGAGAAAAAAAACATGTGGAAGCTGAGAATTCCTAATTTTTAATCCAACTTCACTCTTCCATATTGTACCAGGTAATTTGTAATTTATCTGAAACAGAAATACTTCAGTACATGCCCACTTACTATTAGCATCAGGTAGAAAACAAGGGCAGACATGCACATTGAATTACATGCTTGCATTTAGGTGCCTGTCAAGTTTGTGCATTAGGGCGGGTTCGGATCTCACGTCTGCTGGAGATACGCAACAAAGAACATGGCACAGAGTACTGTCCAGGTCATAAGTTGCTCCAGAATTCACTCAACCTTTGCCTTTACCTGAACGGATTTACAATTTAGTTTGAGATAAGCTATAGAAAGTTGCTATTAAAACCCCCCAACGGAAACAGGAGGGAAGGGTGCGCGTGTTCAGGGTTGCCCCATCCAGCAGAGGTGACAGAGGTGAAGCGTCCACAGCTGCATGCCCCCAGGTCCAGCTGGAAGCAAGGCACTCACGCAACCCCAAACAGCACAAATGACCTGATCGCGTTCCCTTCTTCGTCTGATCAGGAGGAAAAACTGCTAGCGGAAAAGTCACCCCGTACGGATCCCGCGCAGAGCTGGCCTTGGACACTGGCTCCCCACGTCTCCCCAGACGCTGGCACTCGGGCACCCCGAGGCCTGCCGCCCCCGTGAGTA